GCTCTGAGAAAACCCACATGCTTTTCTTTTTCCTAGTAACTAGAAGTAACTAAATCAGTGGTAGGTAAAAATAAATAGATGCATGTTCGCAATTGGCTGTTTCGCGTAGTTTTCCTGGAATTACTTTCTCCCAATTCCGATAGGATTTAGTCACTGAGCTGCAGACTTTTAGCTATAACTGCCTCCCTGTTCGATGTTCCAGCCGCATGCGACGTCCAGTTGCTGCACAGCTTATGTCTAGACGACCCTCTGAGAAATCTCCCTCTGTGGCCATGCTTAGCTGCTGCAGTGACACCAGGACGGTGATGTCAGCTGTTTGCCAGACTGATGGCCATGCCTCTCGCCACTCTGGTGGGCTCTGAAATAGAGCCAGAGTCTTGGAGCTTTATATGGGGATATGATGCGTGCACCACATGCACATGCACAGTACCCTCTGCAGGGAGGCTGGGCCCTGTACTTTCCATATAGCTGGGTTTTTTAAGCCTGTTTTCACTGCATTTTCCCTTTTTGACTCTAACATAAAGCTTAATGTGAAATTTAACCAGCACTGATGCAATTCCCTTCCTAAGCTCCTCAGATCTGAATTAGAAGGGAACTTCCATAGCTCATTGGCCTGCAAAGACATTTTGCTGAAGGAGGATGCGAGTCTTTCCCAGGCTAGGGAGTCCTTTGTCATCATCCCAAATTTATTTTCCCAAAGGTGTTTCCATAGTGGAGGTGTCAGTATGCTGCTGCCTTTTGCAGTATGTTTAATTTCCGTGAACTCTGGAACTCGTCTTACTGTCTTCAGCAGTAACTATAAGAAGTGTATGTACCTGACACTGTGATGGTCTCTCGTCTGCTTTTCTCTGCTCTTGCTGTTTCAGGCTCTTTGGTAGCACAGCAAAAGTTACTTCAGTAGAGTTCCTAAAGGAACATGTTTCTCCTGTTGACCTGAGGACTTACAGGCTAATTCTACACCAGGCAGTAGTAAGTGGGGTTTAGGACAGGAATAAGTACCGCAGTCCCCTCTACTCTGTGTCCACATTGGTGAGTCCTAGTCTAGCAATCATGTGAAACTGAGGTGAGACTCATTTTACTCAATAGATGTACATAGTGCGTGCTTTTGCTGACTTTTTTAGGTGTTTACTTTTGGGAGGAATGGTCTGTGTCCTGTACATGCATGTTTTTTCTACATGTGTATTTTTCTCAAGTACATATTTAGGGAGTTCAGCATGACTAGGTCAGATACATGTATTGCGAATGTGGGTGCATTTGTTTGGCCAAAGAAATCCCACCCAAAGGCTGCCCCTATACTAATAAATTAAATGTGGCTGGCACTGCTCTTGGCCTGGAGGCCATCTGGCATGGAGTGGCCTGCTTCCTTGCTGTTAACTCTTTCAGTTTCCAATAGGGTGGCTATTCCATGTAGTCCCAGAGAAGGAAAGTGTGTGAAGGATGTAACCTCAGAGATGCATGACTCATGATAGTGCATCATTCTATCACTGAGAGAGATAGAGGTGGCCAGACCAGAACTTTCATAACGGTATGGCCTTGGGCTTGATACATTTGTTGGGGAATGGAAAAAAAATGCAATGTTTTCCTTCCCACCCTCCATTCTCAAGCAATTAACATCGAGAAACATGATGGATCATCAGCACTGCAGATATGTCAAATGTGGTTTTAAAACGTTTCAGAGTTGGAACCTGCAGTGCATTAGGCAAGTTGCCTGATAGAAAAGGCATACATTTTAAGCAACTGCTGTCCTAAAGATTGTTTAAATTAAATTGTAAATTAACATCTCTATCTCTACAGCCCTGGAGCAGAGTGGCTGCCTAGGTATTTCATAATGGAGCATGCAAGCCTAGCAGCATGTGACTTAGCCTGCTGGGTAGTGTGTGGCATTGCGTAATTCAATCATATTAAAGTAGGATGTCCTGATAATAATATTATTTGAAAGCTGTTTACTGTACTTAATGCCATTTATATTTGGTGTGTCACTTGTATTTTGGGAAAAAGAGATTTTAGAAGAAACTAGAGGGCGCGCAATAGGAAATTGCGCAATATACTTATCTGAGGCCACACCACATGGTCTGCAAAGCGCTGCTTTTGCTCTCATACACATACCCTTGGCAACGCTCCCACCAGCAACAATAGTACTCAGACTCATACTGATGTCACTGTGGAGTTATTTAATTTGACTGAACGAGATTAATGTGTTTATTTAAAATCTTGATCAAAATGGAAAAGAAAATCTCAGGACAATACGTTTACGTGAACATGTATGTTTTCATATCTGATGGTTGTAATGTTGCATTAACTTATCGGAGCAGTTGTTTACACACACTAACGCCTGCGAGACCCGCTCAGATAAGAAATGGGAGCCTGGAGCAGAGATTTTTACACAACTTGTGGCACTGTGGGCTCTCATCCCACATCTCTTTTTGCTTCTTCTTCCTACTTAGAGCACCGACCCACGGTGATCCCAGCATTGCTCTGCTTTCTCGCGCGATGCTGGGGCTCAGTGCAGCCACGGAGTGACAGCAGTGCAGAGGCGTTTGGAAACCAGCAGATGCCCCTGATGTTTTGATGCTGGCTGAGGAATAGAGAGCTGCACTGTAGGGACTACCTGGGAGGAGTTGCCCCTGGCTTTGCAGTCTGACTCCACTCTCGTAAAGGATGGCAGACTGTCTGCCTAAATTTTCTCTGCGTTATGTTTTACAAGCAGCTTGACAGTTTTGCCCTGTGACAAATCATTCTGAACTAATCTATTTTTTTTCTCACATCTACCCTCTGAATGTTTGGAATAAAGCTTTGCTATCCAGCTACATACTGCAGGCCAGTGTAATTTTATAAATACGCAGAATGGAAGTCTTGAATTTGAAGAGCTTTTATTTATTTATTTATTTATTTATTTATTATTGCCAGGGCAAATTTGGTCCTTCCTAACTGATTACTGGTGAGGTAACCAGACCAGGTGAGGTGATCTCTGACTCACTCTGTCATGAGTCTCTCCTGACAGTTGCAGACAGTTGCCATATACACAAATTAGCGAGGTAGAAATTGCATAACCCAGAGTTCAATGCTCACTAGTGGGTGCACTAAGCAATGAGTGTTTCTTTTTCCTTCCAGTTCTGTAGTCACCATGTTCATATTTCCCTGCTCTCTCCCATCCCCTGCTGCTTGCAGTTTGAAATCTCTCGGGTGAACATCAGCTGCTGCTGGGACTTGTGACAGGCCAAAGGCAGGGACTAAGCACTCCCTTTTCTCTTGCACTGTGGAAGGATTTGGGGAATCAGAACCACTGCTCTTGTCATTGCTGCTGTCATGTAAGAAGGGAGAAAGCTCCATAGGTTCGTATGTGTCTGCATTTCTCAAGGTGTGGGGTGTGTTATGGAGTAACACAGAGGAACCTGCCATTGGGTGTGCAAGCAAAACAGAAAGGCCAGAGGAAACCAGCTCTGTTGGGTCACTGGTCCCCAGAGACACAACTTGTTGCCTGGGATGTTGCTTGATGCCCTGGCCACATGGGCTCATCCTGCAGCATGACTGATCCTCCAGACTTGTGAGGAGACCAGGTTAAGCCAGGTTTTGGTGTTGTCTTTGCCCTGCTATCTCAATATGTTGTACCTAGGTGTGCACTCTGTGTCCCCAAGCATCCCCTGGATCCTGAAAAGAGTTGTGCATTTAAGGGAACACCGGAATAATATGGTTTCTGAAGTCCTGCTGTTCCCCACGCAGGCACTGTCTCCCAGTGTCTTCTCAGTGACTGTTGGGTCACTTCTCAGAGTGCTGTTGGGAACTACGGCCAGGCCTTTGCTGGTGGGAAGCAGCAGGATAGCAGGAACCACCTCCTGCACAAGGTCGGAGCAGAGCAGTCCCAGAGCTGCTTCTGTGGAGGTACCTGTTCGAGGAGCTGTCCCCATCTCCTAGTTTAGTGCCGTCTGTATTGCTCAGTCCTTTGAACTTGGTATGCGCAGCAGGGGGATCTGTGAAGTTTGTTTAAAGCAGTAAATAGCTTGACACATGAGGGCATTTTCCTCCCTTTCCTCGGAGTTCCAGTCAGTGGAAATATGTCATCTTCAGCTAAAATTAGACTGGCTCCAGCTATACTAGAGAAAAAAAAAAAAAAAAAAAGAGAGGAGAAGCAAAACCTCAAGAGCTAAACTCTTTCTGTTGGACTTCCTCAGATGTAGCAGCTCCTAGCAGAAATAACTCAAGATCCTTCCAGCATGAACTCGATCCAAAAGTCTGTGATTTTTATCCAAAAAGGTTTGAACTGTTGTGGACAGCCAAGCAGACTGACTAAGCAAACAAGTCTCTCTTGCATGTGAGAGAATGTAAATAGTCTTAGAGAATAACAACAGATCTTCCAGAGGTACTAAGCAAAAACTGGAAATAGCTGAATTTTAAATGAGTTTCGCAGTTTGAGGGGCAGAGGGGGACTGAATTTGGAAAAAAAATACTCTTTAGTCCCATCAGATTTGATACAACATGTTTAATTTTATAAAGGATGCTTTAGCTGAACCTGCGCCCAGCAACTTAAAAGAAAGAAAAAGCAGCACATTTTCTTTCTTTAATATAACCCTGACCTTACAACATTTTGCTTGGTGCATTAAACTCTAAACACAAATGAAAGTGAGTAGACACTTGATGCTTTCTGAGGTCTAACTCTAAAATGTGTGTGGAGGGCAGTGGGGAGGAGAGACTTGGACCCAAAATAGAGCAGAAAACAAACAGAAAACCATCACAAATTAAATACACATTTTGAGTATTTTTTCTTTCAAACAAGTTGTATTAAAAGAACAATGAAGGGAGTATGTGGAGCCTAACGATATATTGTGTTGTTATTCCAGGCTTCATCAGCAGTTTCTTCATGTTTGCAAAGTTCTGAGGTCGACCCTGCTGCAGCGCTTGCACCCAGCGCCTGAGATTACACAAAAGGGGGTGCGTGGAAGAACTGCTCTCTGAAGTTCCACCTGAGTTTTGTGGAAACTCCATCCAGGCCTTGGGAGGCAGGAGGGCAAATTGTGCTTCTGTTGGCCCTGGTGGGTAATCTCGGCTTCTTATGCACTCCAGCACCCCTATCAGCTCCTTGTTCTCCTTCACCAGCCCTGCAGTGAAAAGGCTGCTGGGCTGGAAACAAGGAGATGAAGAGGAGAAGTGGGCAGAAAAAGCTGTTGATTCCTTGGTGAAGAAACTGAAGAAGAAAAAAGGTGCCATGGAGGAACTGGAACGGGCTCTGAGCTGCCCTGGCCAGCCCAGTAAATGTGTCACGATCCCACGGTCCTTGGACGGCCGGCTGCAGGTGTCTCACCGCAAGGGGCTCCCACACGTCATATACTGCAGAGTGTGGCGCTGGCCTGATTTGCAGTCCCATCATGAACTGAAACCCTTGGAATGTTGCGAGTTCCCATTTGGCTCCAAGCAGAAAGAAGTGTGCATTAACCCCTACCACTACCGCCGGGTGGAAACCCCAGGTAATTATATCCCTTGCAAATGATTCCTAGCTCTCTACTAGCTTTTGTACTGGCAGGTCTGTACTTGGCCTACTCTGAAAACAGGAAAGGCTGTATTGGATGGAAAGAAAGGCTGTGTTGGATGGAAAGACCTTTCTGCCCATTGGCATCCTGGATCAAGGGGCAGCTCTGTGCCTGGGGTCCTCGCTGCCAGCTCAGGGTGGCAGAGCCCCTGTGGGGCCAGATCTTGTCCAGGGTGCTGAAAAGAGTCTCCCTTGCTGCATATGGAGGTGCCGGCTGCCCCACAAGGCCTCCCTCTACAGACCAGTGTTGCTGGGGTGGCCATTTGCTTGAAATCTAGGCACCAGTGAGTCTTTCAACCTTGGCTGCATTTATGCCTCATCCTCAGAAAGCTGAAAATTGACTCATTAATCTACAGGGAAAATGTTTCACCACCTCTCTTTTTAGAAATTAGAGTTGTAGTCAGTGAATTCCTCCTAAAATGCCTGATGGATGGCTTGCCTTCAGTGGGATTTAAGTATCCAGATGGATAGTTTATAGGAAAGTGCTCCCCCTTTCTCACAGAACTTTGAATTTTCTACTGATGATCCTCTTTACACTAGACATGCTCAACCTTGAAAACTCATGCCCTAACTGAAAGGTCATTTAATTGGTCTGTGCCAATGAAACAGCTCAACAGCTGTTATAAAAATACGGTGTTCAGTATTAACTTCCATAGAGATCTTAGAAAGCAGGCTGGCAGAGACCTTGAGTGGTCATCCTATTCCCTTCCGTTCCTACCCCTAAGCAAAACAAAACAAATATGTTTTTAAAGTGAGGTCTAATATCCTTTGTCTTCACAGTCTTGCCAAGCATACGAATATGTTGCTTTGCTATTGTTACAGTTCAGAAAGATTTCTAGTGTCTAACCTAACTTTCCCGTGCTGCCAAAAATCACAGTAATGTAATTTACTAATGAGTACATTTGTTAAGTGTATACTTATTGTTCTGTGATTACTCTTTGTCTGGCATGAACTTTACTCTGAGGTGACATTAGAGTCAGATAAGTTAGTTGTGGGATGTTTCTTTTCACAGGGATAAAATAAGGGAAAGACATTTGTTAACATCTTTTAAACAACAAGGACTGTTCCCTCGTAGTTCTTCTGCTGCAGGGGAGATGTCATTCTGAAATTGCATCTGAACTGCTGTAAACATTGTCACAACTAAAACTTTACAGCTGCAGGGAGTGGTGCATGTTGTCAACAGTTTTTGCTACAAAGAGCTGGTCTCCTGGCTTGCTAAAATAAACTCTTCAAGAATCTAAGAAAAGATGCTCATAAAATATCCCATTTTGTATATCTTTCACTTTGGAAGCTCTAGCCTTTAGTGTCTTCTCATTTCTTCTGGTGCAACTTCAGTGTAGCTAATGGAGTCTCCCCAGTGTGGTAGCTGACAGCACTGCAAAGTGATGGTTTAAATCCAGCTCCTCTGAGCTGCTTGGTGCCTATGACAAATGCTAGTTCTGGGATAGCCCAGCAGCTGCTTACACACTTACAAAGCTAGTTATTAGCCTGTGAAGCAGGCTGGCAACATGTTTATTAGTTAGCATGCTCCCTGCCGTGGCTTTGACCCATGCAGACTAGTAATTCCCCAAACAACACTCAGGTTGCAGAGGCTGCCCCCATGGGACTTTGGGCATTTTGGATGTGACCACCATAAGAAGTACAACATGATCAAATCTGCTGGAGCCGCAGCCACAGAGAGAGCCTAGGCCACTGCAAGGGGCAGCCATGCAGCTCCAGGCTGCAGGCACTTAGGGTAGTAGTGCTGGGAAAGGATCATGGTGAAGGAGGAAAAGAAATGAAAGTGAGGAGGAAGTGATAGCAGGGACATCTCTGCAGAAATGTGGGCGAGTGATATGGGTGCCAGGCCTTTCAAGCAACCATCCTGTTTTGACTATCAGAAACCCTCTCTATCCAAGCTCTCGGTGACCCTACACGTATGGGAAATTCCCTGAATCTTTGTCCCTCCAACCAAGGAATCCACCCATTATTCAGCATTCCTTATAACCCAGAGTCCTGAATTATTTTTATACAAAAGCCCATCATTTTTGGTTCAATTTCCATCACTGTAATTTGTCTCGCTGAGACAACCACTTTGTGATCAGATCCTTTAACTGTTATTCAGAGTGAATGAGTTGTGTCGAAGACAGAAGACAGAATGTCATGTTCATTGTTGCTACCAGCATCCCCAGTAGGTCACTTCTTTCCAAGCCTGCTGAGCAGCAGGTGATGTTTAAAAAAAGCACAGCAAGTATTTCCTTTATTTTGTGTAACCCCATCCCTGTGCAGAATGGGGTTAGTCTGCTTAGTCTAAAGGTCTAGGCATGATGGTTAAGCTTTGCTTCCCACCTTCCCCATTCTGGAGAAGTCTGAATGGATCATTGTCAGCAGAAGCTGCAGTTTCAGAAAATATAAAAGCTGCCCAGGCTTTTGCCCTATTACCCTATTATTTTTAAATGACATCATTCATTTCTAGATAAAGGAGGTTCTAATGTGCACTTCTGTTGTAGACTGCAGGAGCCTAAGTGAACTTTTGACTTAGACTAGAAGATTGCCCTAGTCAAGCCTGAGTGGAAGGAAGAAGTGGTATTTTCCCAGTTGGAAGACCACCTGATGATCTATAGTGATGATGATGCATGGCCTTCAGTGATATGGGCCATATGTATGAATGGTCATAGATATAGAGAACAAGTGGATCTTACCAGAGGGTAAGGCTACAAGGGCAGTAAACTCCTGAGAGTGGGGCTGATGTATCAGAAATAGCAGTGTGGAGTTGTACCTGGAATAAAATAATTGGGCAGATAAATTGCTCCCTAGCGCGTGAAGTCCCAGGATCAGCAAACACAGGAACGGACAGGATTCCAGCAAGAACTACTGCAGCTAAAGAGCATAGGAGAGAGCATAGTGCAGGAAAGGCAGAAGCAGGAATTGAGACATAACCAAAGGCATGCAAACAAGGAAGGATCCATCCCTAGTTTTAGATGAAGAATAGTAGGTATAAGAAAGTGCCCCACTGAGTGGAGACAGCACAGATAAATTATGAGTGTAGATTGGCTCTGATGTGATTAGTCAGTGTTTCAGTTCATGCCTCTGGTCACGCTTCCTTCAGAATGGTTGAGGCTTAGAGAGACAAATCTGTTACCAAAAGAGCAAGGAGAACAAATCCCTTCTGGGGATTTTTTTTTAGCCACAAACAACAAAATCTCCAAATTCCTCTCCTCTACATTGGCTTTAGCCCTCTAGGCATCCACAGAGCAGTCAGTGGAAAGATTGAGTGAAGGGCAAATACTGTACCACAGAGCAGAAATTAGGAGTATACAAAAACTTGCTGACTCACTCAGGGCAAGTCAAAGGCTTTCTCTGGCAAGTGCTGTTCACATAACCAAATTCTCAGCTTTCATTTAAAAAAGGAGTTGTGTCGAGTTCTCACAGGGCTAAAGAAAGCTGCTTCAATATGAATGGTACACACAGGGACTGGTGCCAGCTCCCAAGCACAGCTATCGCTTGCTCAGTATCTCTGCTCACTGCAGAGTGCACAGAGGTGGCTGCTTTTCCCATTTTCCGGGGCTGCTGGTCAGAAAGTGCTGGGTAGCTGTGAACCTGACAAAAAAAACAGACCACTTTCAAGCTAGAATGGGGAAAAACTCCAGAAGCAGCAGCAGCTTGCAGCCCAGAGCTGCTTACAGGAACCATGGAAGGGGCAGGATTCAGCTCACCGAGAATACATCTGCAGTGTGATCACTTCTGTGGTGGCCTTGTCCCAACACAGGGCAGATGAACTGGGCACTAAGAGAGTCTTGTTTCTCTCCACTGGCTGTAAGGAGAGCTTAGAGGGATCAGGTAATGCAGCTTAGATGTGAACGCTGTATTGCCGGTGAGTCCTACCTGGGGAGTCAAGGAAATCCAGAAACCTAAGGAAGAGGTAAAAAGCAAAAATATTTTCCTCTACCAAAGAGCCACCAAGTGGGTGGCTGCACACTTGTCCTCCCACAAGGAAGGCTGAAGGGAAGAAAATAGGCTTTCGGAGCACCAGCACTGTGCTGGCTAGAGACTAGCCAGAGAAGGGTCTACACATGGTCTCTTAACAGGAAATCCAGTGCTTGCGTTCTGGGGTGGGTGAGGAGATAACATTTACAGTGCATCCCCTGTCATCAGTCCAATCCTTTCTATGTTTTTAACATTCAGATCTTCAGTCCTCAGACGACTGGCAAATTCCCAAATGGTCTATTCCAGTGCCTTCGCAGGAGGGCAATTTAATCACTGCCCCAGCTGCAAGATAGTGCTACAGCAAGCTGGAAACAGTAAACGTGGCATTTGTACCAGGCACTGATCTGCTGCCTGATTGAGGCTGCCTCTGCTTTGAGCAGTCGGTGCACAGAGACGTCCAAGGAGAGGGTCTCCTACAGCCTCTTCTCATACACGTTTTGCATTATCTATGTATTTGCTTTATAGCAACTACTCCACTCTTTCATTAGGCTGGATAAATGAGAGTTCAAAGTAACTAAAAGGTGCTCCCTTAGCTGCCTAAGAAGTATTAGCCTTACCTAGACAGAGCTTTTTGTTCCAAACACCATATTAAAACACTTTCAAACAACATGTTCCTGTCAGTATTTATAACCAAGAATGCCCCTTGTTATTTGTTTCTATGAGCTGGTAAAAACAGACATGCTGCTGGGTTTTAGACCAAAGCAACTGTAGACACTAAGTCATCTGTATAAGCCTGTTGTATTGTTCTGGTATTGAGACAGCTCATACTTGTCACAATAACCTGGCTTGCCTCCTTATCTTCTCTTGAGGTTTTTGATCTCTGTGCTAGCAAGCAGGTATTCTTTCCCCCTACTTGTGTTTAAGGCCTTAAATAAGGCACTTAGGTGTTTAATTATCTTCTACAGCTAGTAAAGAAAACTTGGGGTACAAAAATTGCCCATTGCAAGTGCTGTTGTCTCCCTAAGGACTACAGATGGCTCCAGCTAAGGCCTGAAGTTGAAGTCCCCTATTCAGAAACATTCAGCAAACCTCTTTGTGTACTAAGCTATGAGCTACATCTTTATAATTCTCCCACCTAATTTTTAAACATTTTGACTGGTCCTGCTGTTGCTCCTGTTACATCAGAATTCAGAAGTTTTCAGGTCATCTTTTGGTTCTTCAATGCAGTAATGCTGTTACAGCCATCACAATATGAGATATACATGAAAAAGTGAGTTTTTGAGGAGAGAAGATATCTTCCACTAGACCAAGTTGGAAGAGTTTGTATTTCAGTTTTCTGACCTGCATTTTTCGTGTCTTGACTACCAAGCATTGACATTAGTCTCCTCATGCTACACTTCTTTTAACTATATTACAAGGGCTAAATGTATATTGCTGCAATATTTGAATTGCCACTTAAATTTCCTTTTAAAGATTCTACTGTCTAGTTGGCAGCATTTTCTGGCACCTGAAAACCTTTTAAATCTTGTCTCTAGCTTCTGGTCTATGTTTCTTTATGCCCATCTGTAAAATGCTAGTAGTAAAATAATGCAGTGTACTTGCTGAGCACTGTTAATTATAATTAAACTTGGCTCTGAATTTGACAAAAACTAATCATAATATTTATCAACTCCTGAATTTTTCAGCCTTTCAGGAGAAGGAATATGTAACTTTGAGAAAGAGAAATGTGCCACTTGCATTTTTATAATATGTCTCTGTGTGCATACTGTACCTGTAAATTCCTGCAAAACCTGTAAATGTACCTAGGCCAGTTGGGAGCAAGTCCCTTTTTGCACATGGAACTGCTGCAACTGACTGCAAACCTGAAAAAAAAAAAAAAAAAAGAAGCCAAAGAAGCAGATCCTCACTGTAGGACAGATTTGTTGTATCTCAGTGAGTATCAGAGAAAACTATTTAAGTAGTACTGAATATAGCGCTCTGCCTTACTTAAAAAGAGATGTTATTTACACAAGTGCAGTTGTAACCATATTTTTTCAATTCTGTTTTTGCTTCCAGTGCTACCTCCTGTACTAGTTCCAAGGCACAGTGAGTTTAACCCTCACCTCAGCCTGCTGGCCAAGTTCAGAAACGCTTCTCTCCACAGCGAGCCGCTGATGCCGCACAATGCCACCTACCCCGACTCTTTCCAGCACCCTCCGTGCACCCCCTTCCCACCCTCACCCAGCCACATGTTTTCCCAGTCACCCAACAGCATCAGCTACCCCAATTCACCAGGAAGCTCCTCTGGACCAGGAAGCCCATATCAGCTCACAGGTAAGAGGTTTACAGATGTCTCCCTGTGGCAGCAGAGGCTCTTGCAAGGGCCTGGGTTCAGGATCAATTCTGCGTGGTCCCATCGGGCTGTGCCTGTGCACTAAACTGTTGCACAAGATGGACCTGGAATAAGATTTCTTCCTTTTGTTTCTTCGCCTTTTCTGCCAGTCTTTCTGATGGATGGTCAGTGGCCTAAAAGCCATAGTCATACCACTGCTACAAATGTCTGAGTAAGCTCTCATGATTACTATAAAGAGAAAATTCAAGACAACGTCAGGTGGGGCAGTCCACCTCCTGTCCATCCCTGCTTCTGATACAATCCATGGAAGAGAGTACCTTAGGCACCTCTAATGGAGGTAGTCAGAACAGGGGCCTTTAGCAGCTTCATCAAGAGAGGCAAAATTGTGAAATCAGTATGTAGAAATAGTTGTTAATCTATAATGACCCCTCTGACTGTAGAAACTTCATGAAATTAAGGTGTTTTTCAATCTGGCTGAACGCTCAGTGAAGTCACCAGGCAAATTCTTGTGCCTTCAGTGCTTGTTTCTTCTGCTCCACAGCTCCAAGCTCAGCAGGGTTAACTTACTTGGATTGTTTATACTGTGAGCTCCTTACTTGGTAATGTTCTGGTTAGCTGAGAATTTAACTATGCAATTGTTATTAAATGCAACAAGAAGGTGTCATGCAACACAACTCAGGACTGGCTTTAATGTGAAAAGTCGCTGCTGCACTTTGTTGAAACTCCAAAGTAATTACAGCAGCCCCAACTTTTTTATAAAGATGAATGCAGATCAGAATCTTGTAGCTCAATGGTTTAATATTTCAACTATAAAGCATTTAAATTCATATCCTCAATATCTATTTTGACTTTAAGTGTGGGAAAGATGTTTAGTTTTACATGTTATTTGTAGTTCTTGAACTTCCTTTCTTTCAAACCGGACATTTTCAACACAGCATAATGTTTTTCTTTCCCTGTCCATCCACTCAATTTTTGTTCATTTCTACTACAAATCTGTAGTCAGATTAACTCATCCAAACACTCTGGCAAGTAGTAGGACTTGTTTATCTACCCCCATTCTTTTTTTCACCTCTGTGTAACAGAGATCAATTCAGAAGAGCTGGTCCTGACAGGTAGATCAGACCCATTCCAAGCTACATGCCTCTGACTTGTGTGTTTACCTGAACTGGGGACCTTGGAAAGACACTTAGAAATGGAAGTGGCTCAGCCTGAGCTTCAGCGTATCAAAGCTTACTGAATACTAATGGAGTAATTTGCTTGTGTAACAACCAGGGATTGCTGACTATCTAATGCAACAGCCAGGAGTTACTTCAGGGACTCCAAGTGGAATTGGTGTGACCATATGTAGATGTCAACAATGTAAAATTCTGTGTATGCTTTAATTCCGTGCAGGAAAATATGCATTCTTGAAACAATAATAATTTCATTTTAAGGCATATGCCTACAGTAGCTGCAGTTGTGCCTGGAAGTGCCTAATTTTCTTTAGTGAGTATAAGGAGAGCTTATGGTGGCTAGTTCAGGTGTAGACATCTGAGATGTTACATGACATGTGTAACAGTATTATAATACTTTCTGTAACTTTTATTCTCTTCCACTGTTTCTTGATTTTGTTTTTGTTATTGTTCTCACTTGTTGCATTTTCTGTGGAAGGGTTATATCTTCCATATATTAGGTAGCTTTTTAAGCGGTATTTCCAAGTCCTGGATGTTGCTTAAACAGAGTAAATAATGTTCTTGTGCAGTAATTGGAAGACTCAATAGTCTTCTTATGAGGCAGTCCACATTTATCCTCTGTGGGTAAAATTTTGGGGGGTCAGCCAAGAAACCAAATACAAAAGAAGGGATTTCAACCTAGACCTAAATTAAACTTACTAGTTTACTACTTACTTCTAAACCCTAGACTTGCTAAACAGACCCTTAGTCCTGCAAACTTATACATGACTGTAAGTTACTCATAGGCCTGTTGAGTTTGTTTAAGTGAGTAAAGGTAACTGCTTTTAGAGCTTATGTACAGAATGTCTGAATTTTCTAATGTGAAAATGAAGTCCCTTTTTCTCTGGTTTTCTAAAGCCTCTTGCCTTTCTTGTGAATCCCCGCAATAGAGAGCCACCTTCCCTTTATTTTTTTTCTCTATTGCTATAGAAAAAAAAAAGTCAGAAGCTGAGCAGCTGAGTTGATACTTTTTCTTAATTTTTTTTTCATTGCATCTAACGCTAATTGACGAGAAGACTGAAAAAGACAGAAGACAGCTGGCCCTCCCTTGTTAGACAGCATTAAAAAAGAAAAATCTGTGTGCAGCTTTGCTAAATCTCACTTCAGGATATAAAGGATCTCTATAGGCTTTCTTTACAGCCTGTGAAGAAAGAGAGCTTTCTCCCAGAGGAGCAATTAAAGTTTGCTTCCATTCTAAATCATCCTCTGCATTTTTTTTTTCTATTTGAGAAGAAGTTTGGAACTGAAGGATCAACTTGCATTACTTCCTTAGTGTAAAAACTCAAGTTACCAGAGTACTTGGCAATAATCATCCCTAGTTCCTTAGCAATTACTGCCAGGGAAGTGCCTCTTCTCAGTTGCTTGGAATTCACAACAGCCTTTGACACCTCTATGCTCAGTTGCTGTAATTGGTTCACAGTTGGTCCTGTGGCTTTCATTTGCTCTTCAGGACAAAGTACGAAGACTTCTGAATCCTGCCTGTCCCCTCTACTTCAAGGCCTTCTTGACCAATCTAGACACTGCTGTCATGATCATTCCTCCCTCTTTCAAGTGTATTGAGTCCAATATGCTTTTCCTTTTCATTCTTCCTGAACAAAAAATGGTCTTAGTTTGGGGATTGAAGTTATTCACAGGTTCACATCTCTGTTCTGTTTCAAATCTTTCTCCAGCTAAAAAATGCTGAAGGAATGTTGCATGTTTGACAAGAAGAGGTGGGGATAATTTACCAAATTACTGATTTTGATGTCTTTTCTTTCTTTTCATTCTTTCTTTATTTCTTTCTTCCTATCTTCCTTTCTTTCCTTCTTTCTAATAGTGGAAACTCCACCCCCGCCTTACCATGCAAGAGACTTTTCAGGAATCCATAATGGACGGTCAATGGATGCAATAGCTGAAAGTCAACTAGTGCTGTCTTTGCCCCATGGAGGTAAATCTGCCGACGCAGACACTGAAAGTAAATAACTATTTGTACTACTTTTCATAGAGAATTTGTTAAGTAAAAATTGTCAATTAAATGTCCAGCATCTGTAAAAGTAGGTCTCAGAAAAGGTTAAGACTAAGGCTGTGCATTAGACCCATCAGTTGGCTAGCAGAATAGGGTGATTTAAGGAGTCATTGACTTAAGTGGGTAGTTACAGAGTTTAGATCCTTCTCACATACATAAGCTGCTACAGTTAGAAAACTGATAATTAAAGCAAACACTATTCTCTAGGTTGTAGAGGCAAAGATTAAATCAAGGATGGGAAGGCTATATAATGCAAAAGAGCACTACCAATATCACAATTCTTTCACCCTCAGTTCACTTTATCACCCTTTATCACCCTCAGTTCTGGGTTTCATGCATTTTAAAGCTTTATGTTTAGAACATTTCTTATTTCCAAATTCATTTCAATCTTACCTTACTGGCTGTCTAGAAGCTAGAGAGACATGTGTTAGTAAAGCACAAAGATCTTTAAAGGAGGCCAAACTCATATAAGCCTTAGGGAGAGGTGCCAGGGATGGTCAGGATAGAAGGGACTGGGATTGAACACCACATATACAAATGCACATTAAAAAATAATTCCAACCTTCTGAAGCAGTGATGACCACTTATGTATCAAAGAACTGGAGAACAAAGATGAGGATAAAAGTGTTAATAACAGATAGATACAAAGAATGGCCGAACAGGAAGTAGTCTTTAGGAACCAGTATTTTTAAATAAATAGTCCAGAGACTTTTTACCACCTCTTTCCATCTCTAATGGCGTAGTGATTCTTAGTTGGAAATTTGTTAGAGGTTACTCATGGAGGTACCTTGGGGCCAGGGGGTTTTTACCACATATTACCAGGGGGTAAGCAGGCAAGAAAAGGTTACTCACTAATTCCTGGAGGACAAATAAGGGTCATGGATTCTGTTATGTTATGGGCAGAGGTAGTTCCAAAAGAAATAGCCTTGCTGCTGTTTGCTGACATTGCTGCCTACAGTCCCACATGGAAGCAGAAAGCCCAGAAGCATGCAAAAAATGGGGATGGGAGGGCAGTGATTGATTACTTCTGAACTTCAGCATTTAGTGTCAGGCTGAAGGCTTGGCTCAGTTTTCTTCTTGCTTTGAGCCCATCTGTCATCCATAGCTCCTTCTGGTGTGCACAGCAGATGTATCTCTTACTATTTTCAGTGTAGTGATTGGGCTGTAGTTCAGCAAAGAATGTCTGCATGTGCTTAATTTAATGCATTAGAGTTATCACTTTTAAGAACAAGTGGGACTTCTTAGAGGCTTAAAGTTAATCATCTAATGCACCAGCCTTTTGCACATTTGAGGCTCCAGTTATAAAATAAAGATGAGGCAGAAGCTGTTGTCAGGAAAAAACCTGATAAGTGACAGTTTTAGATGAAGATCTCCAGGGACAGGGGAGGAAGAGAGAGAGGAAAGGAGACAGAGTCAGAGAATGGTTGTTTTAAAAAGTATTACATTACTTTACATGTACAAAATACATGCACTTTACAAATACAAAAAGCATAAGCATCAATTAATTTTATTTCTTATAGACTTTCGCCCTGTTTGCTATGAGGAACCCCAGCACTGGTGCTCAGTTGCCTACTATGAACTCAACAATCGGGTAGGGGAGACTTTCCAGGCTTCCTCTCGAAGTATCCTTATAGATGGATTTACAGACCCCTCAAATAACAGAAACAGGTTCTGCCTAGGACTGCTCTCGAATGTAAACCGCAACTCTACTATAGAAAACACCAGGAGACACATAGGAAAAGGTAAGAGGTTCCCTCCTTCTTGGGAATATTCAGAGCTTGAAAGAAGTGTGCATTGCATTAATAGATCTAGCCAATTTGTCGGATGTGCATGCCTTAAAACCGATGCTCTGAGTTTACTTCTGAAATAGGAGAAAAGCAGCTGATTCTTTTCTGACTGGATAAGAATCAGCAAAGTAGCTTCTTACAAAAGCAATTTACTTGGCCACTGAAAAGAAAAATGTTGTTTATAGTTGTGTGTTCTAATTTAGCAGTATGTATTTTCATTTTATTTATTAGGGCTTCTGGCAACTGGGAATATTGCCATTGAAATGCCACTAAAAGGATAATTGCTGGTGCCTCAGGGCTGGTTCTCCTACCACCAAATAACAAAGGGAGATGGATGAAACACTTAGTAGTTGAGTTATTTAGCTGAAGAACTCTACAAGGGATGCCTTAGGAGCTTTTTTTTTTTTTTTTTTTTTGCCTTAGCAACTTAAGAAAATCAGTCTAATCCGATCCTCTGCCTCATCAGCTTCCAGCTGGTAAAACTAAATCTTGGATTCTCCTTTGAGCGGTTCTGCTTGTATGCTCTGGAAGATTTACATGCACTGTTCACTCAACATCATATGCTACAGGCAGCGAGTATGTCGAGACCACTCCTGAATATGCATGGCCATACACACTCCATCCCAGGTCACTAAGGCTGCAGAGGTCCTCATCTTCTCCCCGAGCTGTGTACTGCTCATGGCAGTGAGTCAGAAGCTCTGTACTGGCCACGTTTCTGTGCCGATGAAGTGGTGCCTATTCTGGTATATCCAGTCTAGACTCATTATCTTGCCAAGCCAACCTCTCACCAGGAGCTGCCTGGGAATGGGTTCCCACTGGGCTAATTAACTCTAATTGTTCCACTCCTATTATCTTGTCAACCTCACCTCATTTCCCAGGCCTAGAGCAGTATTTTAATTGGCTCTTGATAGTCTAGTGTTGAATGACTGAATATGAGGAAGGTCTGAGACAAATGTGACTTTTTTATTTTTTTTATAAACAACAGTGAACGGAGAGGTTAGTGCATGAGGTATTTTGCAGAAGATGCTGTGCTTAGCTCTTGTCCTGTTCTTCAGGAGAGCATTGCTGGTATGAATGTATTGGGTGAAGTGGGTGGGATGCTACAGGTGTCTGTCATAGCAGTTTGTTGTAAGCAGTGTAAAAAAGCTATCCATCTAGTCTGGGCTTATGCAGAAAGTAAGGCAAAGCTTCCCTATCAGGGTACGCTGTCAGAGGAGTGTGGATGGAAGTTGATGCGTGGCTACATTAAATGACAAAAAATCTCAGTCAAAGTTGTCATCTGAGATGTTACATCTCATACATTTCTGCCCCCAAAATGAAAAGAAACAGAACAGAAAGAAATGAGGTACATGCTAATGGTCCTCATCCATTCAAATCTGAAGATCTGTCTTCATCGATTAAAAGTTCTTTCAAGTCTTATGCTAGCAATCTGCCCAAGGGAAGGGAGCAGGTTGCCCAGAGAGGAGCTTAGAATATCTGAGATCCTTAATTTTCATGCTCTTCCCTGTTTATGCAAATCTTAGGAAAACATGTTCAAGTGGAATAGAAAAGGCACCAGTACAGGCCTGCAGAAGAGAGCAGAGCAGCTCCAAAACTGCACAGTGCATAAGTGTGCTGGACAGATGAAAGCTCCTGAAATGAATACAATTGTCACATGTTAACAAGGGAAAAAAAAAAAAGAGCGAGTAAACAAGATTAGCTCAGTAGGATAAGGATATGCGATTGAATCGTCATCTAGTGTATCAGCATGAAATGGTTTCCTGGAAATACCACATCAAAGCTACAAACAATCCAGAACACAATGCAACTTCTACTAGCAATTGGACTCGTTTCAGCAACTAGGCTTCAAGGACATAAAGGGGACTTCTGAGCAGAGTGTCAAAAAGATGAGGAAACTTGGAGGTTGTTGAATGTCCCAATTCTGCACAGAACAATGAGATCCAATTAAAACATATGAACTCTTGATTTGGTCCACAAATATTCAACTGCTTGATTTCCTTGACAGTGCTACCCTTCAGTGAATGAATAGCAGAAGACTGGAAACACGTGCTGATATTTCACTGCTGCTGCTTTTAAAAAGTCCTCAAGGAAAAGAAAACAGTGCTTTCAGAAGTGACTTTGGTGCTTTGATTACTGTGGTACATAGTTTGTGGAAGGCTTTTGAAAGCTTTCATTTTTTTTTCCCAAGTTGGGTTCTCAATACGTTTTGGAAATCCAGCAGTTTAGAGCTTCTCACTTTAGCACTCCAAATCACTAGTGACATCTGTAGATCTGAAATACAGCAAATATTTATGTCCTTATTTTGCTCTTCCTACCCTTCATTCTCACTTAGCCTGCTTATTTCAGGAATTATTTTGGACTCATCAAGCTTACCTAGGAAGATTTTCAGTGTATTTTCCTTCCCTTTTATCCCCCTTTTTACAAAAGGAAGAGGAGACAGGGGTCAAGTAATAGCAGTCACAATGTGAAGCACCACGTAACCATCTGGAGCAGCTGTGCCGTTGCTGACGGCGGCTCTAATTGCACTGTAGCTTCACCCGCATTCCCAGCACAACGTGTGCTTGGGTTGCCAAATGCACCTCCTGTCACTCAGATCTACTGTGAGAGCCTGTGGGTGCACAGAAGTCAAGTGATGGCTTGAAGACAGACTTTAAGGTTCTTGTCTGAGTCATTCTGGAAGTCTATGGGAGAGCGTATTTTTTCCCAGATCCTTTTCCCACTCAACCTGCTTTTCCCCAAGCCTTTCCCGCTTCTGTGGAGAGGCTGGTTTTGTTTCAAGGATGTGCTGCTGCTCCTTGCTGTCATGACCACAGAAGCATGAACAGAGACTGGGAATATGCAGCCCGGCTTTTTTGTATGAAAAATAACAGGGAAAAAAAAAAAAAAAAGAACAAATTAACACTGAATTATTAAAGCCTGATTATCACCAACTCTGCAGGCAGTCCACTTAGACTTTTGGAATGTGTGCATTTGTGTGTAAGGCTTTGAGCTCTGTACCTGGGAAAAAGGAGGAGGTTTTTATTTTAAGGAGGGTTTTACTTTTATTTATTGGTGGTTCATATGAGAACAAAGAACTGAAGCCTTCCACCTCTCTTGAACATGGGACGAGTTCATCCTGTCTACCTCTAACCATGGGAAGACTAAATGTGGAGGCATCTTCAGAGGATGACTAGGTCCCCTTCAGGGTGTGGTTTCATGCTCACTTATAAGCAGTCCAAGTCCTCATTGCCACCCTTGCGCTGATGAAGATTTCACTGTGAATATATTAGTTTTCATTTGGTTCAGCTTCCTTATCTGAGTGGCTGCCTGGCTCTCAAGCATTGCTGCTGTCATGAGTGCAGGTATGGAAAGAAGCAACAGGGGAAGGAGAAGAGAGCGTTTTCAGCACCAGCACAGACTTAGCTCAGATTAAGCTGACAGTAAATGCACTTTGTGGTGGATGGAGTGAATCATCTGGTGGTGGTGCCTCTTGTCACCTATCAGCTATAGAAGGAGTCTACACATTTAGCTTACACTAGATCACTAATCTTAAGGCTGCTGAATTTAGCTGAGATAAATCCCTCACCAATTTATGTACGTTTTTATGGAAGCAGGCATCCAGAGGGGAATCTGAGTCCTTGAAAGGATAGAAGTGCTTCTATTTTCATTTCCCTATGGCATGGTAAAAATAGGCGAGTTAGTGTTGGTAAGTCACTCAGACACTCAAAAGTTCACAAGAAGATCAGTCATTTTCTTGTTAAACGTTACTTTGAGCTATCTGGTGAGTAAGTAAGGGTCGTGCAAATGTGAATACATGGTTGTGATGTGACAGATAAAACAAAATACAGAAAAGCTGTTTTTAGTGCACACCAGAGTGTGTTTGAATTGCCTGTGATAGGATTAAGATATAGCGTGCGGTGAGTTGTATCTTGGGCAACTGTGTGTGCTCCACAAGGAGAACACATTTGGATGTGTAATGCAAAACAGCTTTGCCAATTATTGGCCGTTTTGTGTATGTATGCTTTGTATATGTTTCACGTATGTTTGACATATATATGTATATGCATGTGTGCATGCCTCCAAAAGTAACATGCTGGTGTATTTAAAAAAGTAATTCAAACTTCACTGAGAAACAAAGTAGAATATTACATGCCAAGCCGTTTTTTCTCCTATACCAACACTTTGAAATAACATTTTTGACAATTTTTTCTCAATGTTTGTGGGTCCGTTTTGTAGATATGTGGTTATACACAGATTTTACTGTCCTTTAAAAGACAAGGTAGAGGCACTAAATGCCTGGAATGATTCTGGGCTTGTATGTGCACACAAATAAAATAACCATAGAATTACTGGCATAAGGCATATTGTGAACACTGGAGAAATAACACCTGTTTTGTTTTTTCCTTTTTGAGGTGTTCATCTTTACTATGTCGGTGGAGAAGTTTATGCAGAATGTGTGAGCGACAGCAGCATTTTTGTGCAGAGCCGCAACTGTAACTATCAGCATGGTTTCCACCCAGCCACGGTCTGCAAGATCCCCAGTGGCTGCAGCCTCAAGATTTTCAATAACCAGCTCTTTGCCCAGCTGCTTGCCCAGTCGGTCAATCATGGCTTTGAAGTGGTGTATGAGCTGACCAAGATGTGCACTATTCGAATGAGCTTTGTTAAAGTAAGGTTGTTTTGCCTTCTATTGCATTTCTGGAAAAAAAAAAAGAATTCTGTCACTTGGTGATGTTTTCCCCATTGATGGCATAAAAATTTCAGTTTAGATGGGCTAAGCATGTAATATATGTGCATACCTTAGGCAGTTTGTGATCATCCCATTGTTATTAGTTTGCAATAGAGCTTGGTGCGGTCACAAATCTGAAAAGGGTGTCCTTAGGCCACTAGTTAATTTATAGTCTTAACATTACTATTGACTTGCATGTATGGGCTCAGCCAAGAGATACTGGGTCCTCCTTCAGCCTATTGGGGATTGACATTATTTGCCACCTTTCTGCTCCCTGGCAAAAGATTGTCTTAACTGGTGTTGGCATTCCCACTGGCCAAATCCACTACCAGAAAGGGTCCTAACAAGTGGAATGCAAAACTCAGAAGAATCACTAGTCTTCTGTTGTTTGAAAGAGACCACCAGACTATTATTGTTTCCATGTTTTTGAACCTTTGCAGTCTGACTGCTGGATGCACATTGTATCTGTCTTTGTGGGGGTTTCTTAAATCTTTTGAACGCCCTCTCCAGAACGTCATTTTTGACTGCTTTTAGAACTAACAATGTACTTTTGGTATCTTTGGTGTCATCTAAGGGAATTCAAGACTGCTTACTCAAAAAAACGCACTAGACTGACTTCCTACAGTGCTGCTGGTGAAAGCTGTGTCATTAGAAGCTCACTAGCCCTATTTAGCTGCTATTACAAGCAGCTTTAGTATAGCCTTTTGTCTTGCAGATTTGGTTCTATACAAATGATTGAATCAAGCTGACTGAGTTCACATCAAAGATACTACAACACTTCTTGAGACTCAAACCCAGTTCCCCTACATCTTGCAAAGCAGAAATGTTGAGACCCAAGCAACTTTCTGGCTCTAACTCTTTCTGACTGTCCTTGGGGCCCATCCTCTTCACTAAGAGCATTAAGAATGCCCTGTAATTTTTCCTGGGAGTCCAAGCCAAAATCTTCCTGCATATATTGCTTTGTTCTTGGGAAAGAACTGGCATCTTGTTCACATGCAAGCATTAGGGGGAAAAAAGTACCCAAGAAGCCCAACAAACAGCATTTTCTTTAATGGAAGACATGAATGGGCATGCTGTTTGTAAAGGCAGTGTAGCCAGTTACACAATATTTTCATTATCTCAGCAACACAGGGGCAGTTTCTTTGATGTGTTATCTGTTTTTGAGCCCAGCATGGCAGCAGAAGTGGTAGTGTTGATGCATTAAGTAACACTACTGCTGTATTATCACCATGCTTTGTTGAAACAATGGCAGCCACTATCGTGCCGCGGGCACCAGAAGACCAATGCAAGAAGGAGATATTTCAAATCCTTTCCCACGACCTTTGGAAACAAATTGTACAAATCTTACCTAGGTTCTTTTTTCGTGGCCATTTCCTGTACTCTTGTTTTCCCAAATTATTTCTCTTCCAAGGTGTGAGTCCTGGTGGGACAGGAGTGCCCTTGGGGTATTGGGGGTGTGCAGTGGAGAGAGGACAGTGTTGCCTATCACAGCCCTGGTATGTGCCACACACCAGAAGATCCCAGACATGGGGCAATCCTATGGTTTTCCCTGATTCCTGCCCCTGCACACTATGCGGGACAGAGGGGGAAAGATGCTCCTGGAGAGCACCTTGGAGAGAGCTGTGGCCTGCACAAGGCTGGAAAGGCTGGCAGTACCAGCAGGGTTATTGAAACCATCTTCTCCATGCCTAGAGGCTCATTTCTGGACTCCTCTTGTGGTTATTGGTATCCTCTTCTCACCGTCATAGAATCATGGAATCATAGAATGCTTAAGGGGACTGCGTCCAAGCGGGTTTGGAAGATCTCCAGAGAAGGAGACTCCACAACCTCTCTGGGCAGCCTGTTCCAGGGCTCTGTCACCCTCACTGTTAAGAATTTTTTCCTTAAGTTCCTGTGGAACTTTTGATGCTTTAGTTTCTGGCCGTTTTCTCTAGTTCTATCAGTGGCCACCACTGAAAGAGGCCAGCACCATCCTCCTCACTGCCTCCCTTGAGGTACTTATATACACTGATCAGATCCCCTCTCAGCCTTCTCTTCTCCAGGCTGAACCATGGGTTCAAACCAATACAACTCTGCAAATTGCTCTCATTTTACTCCCTTGAAAAGAGAGCTCCATCTCGGAGTTCATTCCAGCCCTGAGGAGCAAGGACTCTACCTGTAGCCCAGGGAGGGCCTTAATTTACAGGCCAAAGACATAGGTGAGTCCCATGCTCGTGACATTTTAACTGCAGGCATCTGTCCCTGGCGTGGAGCTGCCAGCAGAGGGAGATGGCCAGCCACCTAAACGCTCGCAAGCTGACAGATGAGTTGCTGCAATGACTGCTGCCCTTTGCTGGCACCGAACTCCTCAGAATCGTGCAGGCTGCATTTGCAGCCTGTGGTTCCTCCTTATCTAGATTTTCTGTCCTGCCTCTCAGGTGAGATGAGCTGTTTTCTTTGATGCTTGTGCCATGCATCTTCACTGCAGCTGAGCAGTATCACCCTTAAAGTTAGAAGCCCTAATTTAGGTACCTTTGGCAGACATCACGTCTAATACTTCATGACAAAAATGTCAACCCTTCTGAGTAGCACAATTGTCAGGTAAAGCTCAGCTCCTCTGCACAATGAGCCTCGTCAGGCAGCAAGACAATATATTGCACATCGCCCAGTGGAAATCTGAATACTATTTATGAAGGAAAGAGAGTCAGTTACCTGTGAGACTTTAGGCTGTTAGTTGAATCTCTTGCATTGCTGTGAAACTGGCTGTTCACAGAATGTGATAGAGTGCACAGGCACTGTAAGTCCAGAGCTTCTGTATTTGCACTGAAGAGCACTAACCCTCCTGGGCTTGACAGTGAAGGTTATGACTTCTTTCTGTAATATTGTGCTCACAGAAATATCAGCTGTCTGGCTGATCGAGTCCCATCATGCTTTGTTACCTGAATCACACTGTTCTGGGAATTCAGATGGGTGGCTAAAATTAATATATCCGCCCAGACCTGGTAGCTGCCTGCTTAACAAGCAGACACTGTGCTGCCTTGAGGTGGGAGTCTCTGCCAGCAGCACATGCCCATCTCCTGACAGAAGCTCGATATCCCTTATCTCCAAGAAAGAGCTGGAGATGATAGTCATGTTCCAGGACTTTCCATGGCCATTGGAAATTCCATGCCACTTGGTCTCATCATTTGGAAATACTGAGCATATTTAATTTACTAGTGTAGAGTAACTCTTAGTGTCTCTCATAACTATGATAATAACCTTAAAAAAGAGCAACATTTTGAGTAAAAAAAAATCTGCATAGGAAAAAGCATTAAATCTTAGTAATTAGGATGATGGGCTACTCAGAGTACTTTTTTAAAAAACTGACTTTTTGGTCCTTTGATGTTTTTGTAGGGCTGGGGAGCAGAGTATCATCGCCAAGATGTTACAAGCACACCCTGCTGGATTGAGATCCACCTGCATGGACCATTGCAATGGCTGGACAAGGTGCTGACACAGATGGGCTCGCCTCATAACCCCATCTCCTCCGTCTCTTAAGAGTCATCTCTTGAACTACCTTAGGGTGGATGCTGTTGCAGGCAGTGGCTTACAGAATTTCCAGTGAACAGAAGCTTCTATATGTAGATGTATGTAGATGTAAATATATCTATACATAGTCTACTCTCCTATTTTTTTCATGCTATGTTTTGTGGTTTCTAGCTATTCTGATGCCAGTACAGTAAGTTTAGAAATTCGGGTATAGCATATCTGTTCTCTAGTACAAAATAAGCCAAATTCCTGCAAAAGTGTCGGACATTTCCTATGAATATCTTCATTTGTCAGCCAAGCCAGTAAAAGGTGAGAATTATCAGCCCTTCTGTACAGATATTCAGAAACCTGGCTGTAGCTGTTCCTAGTAGGTGAAATTCACCCCTCTGCAGGCAACCAAAGTCAGATCTCTGCGCCATATATTGTCTGATATCCTGATTTCAGGTCTAAAAGAGAACCTTAAGTGGTGCACAAGAGTTATGGACAGAGGATGACTTTTATCCAGTGAACTGAAGGACTACACAGCAGTTCCAGTCTGTCTCCCTACTGCAAAGCAAAATGGGACTACAGATCCTCTGAGGAGCTGAGACACCCCTGTCACCCACAGCATGTGGCAGGAGGAGGGAGGGAACCCTCAGGGCACATTCAGCACTGCAGCCTTATCAGAGTGTTCTGGACAAATTCAAGTAGTCTGATACTGTTGACATAGTAGTGTATGGTACTGCTGCACTGAAATACAACAAGCTCCTTAAAAAAAAAAAGGAAAAAAATGGAATATATACTTGTATGTTTAAAAATTAACTTCCAGTGCTTTTTTTTTTTTGCAAAGTACATTCATACTTGCATATATATCTGGCATGTAAAATGAATCCTATCCATTATACAGTATTGATGTAGTTTGTTTTAAGGGTAGGACTATCTGTAGTTAGACTACTGTGCTGATATCAAGGGTACATCTAAAAGGGACTTGAACTGTGATTCGGAAAAGGGAAGTGAAGTGTGCATTGATGAACTGAATAATTAATCATCTATCTTAGCAAAACCTCCGTATTGAAAGCAGGGAGCCCCATGCTCAGAAGGTGGAAGCAGAAGGAGGTGGGAGTCAGTCTCGTCTACCCTTTGAGCTGTGCCAGTTCTCAGGATCTGAGTGTACCACTTAGGTTTGACAGGGAGGAGTTTCTGGCCAGTTACTTTGTACATCCTCATGGATGGTTTCTCATAGATAGGTTTCATCATTTACAGTGTTTTTGCATCACCTCTGTAGGACAGTGAGCAGTGTAAAACACAAACAAGTGACAAATGAACTGGTGCACAAAACCTTTCGAAAAGCTTCTTGCCTGTGATCCTTCTGCAAGCAGGAGAGCTATTGCACATACTCTCAACCACAGAGCCAACCTTACAAAATGCTGCTCAGATAATAACCTTTTCAGAGGGGGCAGGTGAAACACCATTACATGTTGATGGTCCCCCATTACCTTGCTGAAAGAGGAAGACTGTTTCTTTCCAGGAATAGTAGGCCATCTAAAATTGTTTTGCCTTAAAGGCCAGAAAGAATGACTGCTTGTCAAATCTCACTCTTTCTTAGAACACTCAAGAAGTATACCTAGAAAAATATATTTAACAGAATTTTCTTTTCATTTTCCTTTTTCCCTTCTCCTCTCCTCTCTTGTTCTCTTCCTCCGCTTTCCTCACGTAAACCTGGTGCTACACATTTTACTGTGTAATTACAAGAGGTTACCTGAAATCTCCTGGTACTTCACATATACAAACCAAATGCAAAATTTTTGGAAAGACTTTAAATATATTTTAGAAGTGATGTAATACCTGCTGTGAGGTGGCAATTACAAATAGGACAGAAGAGTCAGTAAACTAGGTACACTTCCCTTGAATGCATCTTCAACTACCTGCAGCATTGTTAGAGCACAGAATAATAAATGATCATTAAATTATAGCAGTAATAGAAAGTGATATGGGAAATGTGTATACACAAGGACCTCTATTTTGTCAGCATTTGACATCAGTAGTGTCACTGTGGGACAGGAAAACTTTTACAGTCTCCTACAGCAGTGAAATTGGGTAATACTCTCACACAGAAATTCAAGGCACACCATTTACGGCTTAGCAAATCTGGGGGACATTGGTTTGGAAATAGACATTTTCCTCAGTTCCCTCAGTGTCACCTTACTGAGGTGTTGGTAATGTGTTTTTTTTTTCTTTTTTTTTAGAATGCTGACTGCACTTACTTTAGCAATTCCTCATGTGCTCTCCATATTACTTTTCCTTTCTCAGTAGTTGAGAACAGAAAATTTGCTTCCTCTATCCAGGATCTAGTTCTCTCCTTTACCCTAGACTCTTCTTTGCCTTCTAGGCTTCATCTAAGACACAAAAATACTATAGAAAGGAGCTTAAGGGTTGGTTCTGGACATTTGCAATATCTTCATCTTCTTCAAAGAGAGCAAAGACACCAGCTCTTTGCCAGCTCTAGAACTCAGTTTCCTGTTGTTGCGATAGAGTAAAAATGGATAGTCAGTGATGGGACAGCGATTCATTTCATCATAAGGCATCATTCATTTCATCATAAGCTAGATAATTCAAATACTGCATTCTGGGTGTGCTTATGCTTTCCAGCTGGAAGGGGAACTCAGGGTCATTAGCTTGATGTGGACTGCTGCATTGGCCATATTCAAAAATAGGTGAGATGAGTTCTAGGGGAGATGAGGTGGCTTTGACAGCCTGGCAGTGACGCTTGCGCTGTAAGTAAGTTTTGTTTAAATACGAGATGATGGATTCAGAGCAGCTTCTCCTTTTCTGTATTTCTCCTGCTATGCTAATCCTTATAACAGATAGCTCTTTTGGCTTAAACCGCTCTGTGCATGCATCTCATTAAAGATAGTCACCTTAGTTCTCCTTAAAAGTAAGTAAGTAGAGAGATAGGCATTTCTGACACTTATTTTTTCTGACCTAAGAAAAGGTGTGTGTTAGGATGGGATGAATCATTCATTCACTTATTTCCTGAAAGTTGGATCAAAGCACCAGATTCTGGGCAGTTAAAGCCAACAGCCATCCTAATTAACCTGTAAGAGGGCTGTCATCATGGCTTGGACATTCCAGTTTTGGTGACCTCTGCAGGCTTTAGTCTCAAGCAGGCCAGCACCATTTTATGAGGCATTGTGCAGGTACACAATAACTGACAATTCCTTCCCAAGAGAAGAGAAGAGCTTACAGAGCTGGAGAGGCTTGGTAAGAGTGGATCTAGTGGAAGTAGATAGGAAGATGATCTCTGCCCACAATAAATCGTAAAAAGTAAGGATTAAAAAAAATCATTTTCCTTTGTTTTTGAAAAAAAAAAGTCTTTCTTACAAGCTGCTCTAATATGTGAACTGAGTTCAATTTAAAATTCATTTTCCTCATTTTTTATAGTAAGGAACTTTGTACCTTGCTGTAATGTCTCCCATTTTAGGGGGACTTTCTGCTGAAGGGTCTCCATCAACCTATTAGCTTGTATTAAATTTAAAGACTTCAAATGCATTCATAAATACTAAAGCATTTGAGATGGGTTTCCTGAGAGATTTAAAAGCCACTTACTTTAGATGCTACTTAGCTGAAGACATTTTTTTTTCTAATGTTTTTGAGCTATCAGCAGTTCAAACATGCTTGGAAGTATCTGTGGAGAAGTACCTTGCATCAGCAGGCATGATGAGAGTTTGACCAGGCAGTGACATAAATCACATTTCGTCTTGGTACTCAGATCACCTGTTTTCCTATTAAGCAGTTTGGATTACTTAAATGCTGCCAGTTCTTCAGTGCTAATATGTCATTTGCATCCACTGGCGACTGAAGCAGATCTGGCACCCTGTGTAAAGCCTTTGCGTGCTACTGTTGCTCTGATTGCTGAGTCCCATAGTCTTATACTGTAGCAGACAACAGGTATGTTATAGCAATGACTGTAGCATTCTTGTGTGTGAGTGGAGCACCTGTTTCGCCACCCCATCAAACCCTTCCTCATGGACCCTGCTCAGCTATGCTGGATGGTGTTTTTATTCACAGCATGTCCAGGCAGTTCTATGTGCTTTGAAGGCAAAGGTTGAGCTGAGTTTTCCAAAAAGAAGGGCTCTACAATGTACTTACTGTATTGTAAAGCCAGAAACATCTTTACTTCTCATGATTTTTTTCACGTTCTGCCTTGCTTGCTCTGAAGGATTATGTATCAGCAACATGAAGGGGAACTATAACCCCAAGTAACATCAACTGGTGTCAAGCAAATTCCTTCAGCATCTCTAGCAGGTACTATATCAAGACTGTCAGGGCCCTAAGCAGTCCTCTCTAAGTACTCCCTGCTTTGGAAAGCATGAGTCTAGATGCCTTCCAGACATCCCTTCCAACTTGCATTGCTCTATGGTTCTACACAAGGATTCAATAATAATGGGTTGCCACAGGCAGGACATGTCTACTAGTAAAGACAGTTTCAGACCTAAACATAAACATGGTCAACTGTTTTTGCATGAGCTCAGTACAGGGTAGAGTTAGTAGATATTGTAAGTGTTCTCTCAGCATAAAATCAGCAGTGTAAATATCTCTCACTACAAACATCATCGCCGCTGCCCAAATCTTGAAAAGGAAAAAGTCAGGGGTTTGTGATGATAGTTTTATCTACCTTTATCTGTCTTTGTTCCTCCTGGCAAGAAACACTCCTGTTTTTATTCTTAAGTTCAGAAAGCCTCACTGAGTGAGACTGAAGAGGTTTTAAATACCCTGGGTCTACAGAGGCAACTAAGGCAGACTCCATCTGCTTCTTGGTTGGATATAATGATTTATAAAGAAGCTTAATCAAATTTCGTGGACTTTGAAGGGTCTCAAGCTAATTTTGTTGGCTCATTAGGGACTTCTCTGCTGCAGCTATAGCTTTCAAGAATGTTTAAGCACTGCATGATGGAAGCCAACATAAGAAAGAAACATTACATCCTATTTACCTCCTATTCACCTCTCCTCCCAGCACCTCATAACCTAGCTTAGTAAAACCAGAAACAGACATAATAACAGAAGATTAATGAGTCATGGGGTAAACTAATTAAAATTTTCAAAGTTAAGTGCTGCCTAGAATGCAGATCTGTACCATTAGTTAGAAAGGTACTGAACAAGACGTGCTCTCTAACCATAAGAAGAGAGCTCCTTGCTTTGGAAGACCTGGGAAACAGGCTGCTAATTGAAAATCTGAGCCCTACCCCTTCTGGGTAAGTGGAAACTCAACTGAAGGGGTTCAGAAGGTTTTATGGAGGATTTAACAGTTCACAGTTGTTTTTTGTAGCCGCAGATGCACTGAGAGGGTGACGGAACTGGAGAGGGAGGGTTGACAAATGACTACATATGCTCGGTGGTCAACCTTGAAAGTATCAAGGCGACCCCTGTGCTCCCTGAAGCTTGTTGCAGTCGCATCTAAGCAAATCTTCAAGACCTCTTTTCAGGAGCAGCTTGGAGTGCCTGGATCTGGTGCTTCCTATTCACACTGCCTGGTGAGGTGCCAGCCACTCCATGAGCCATTAGACATGGTAAGGCAAACAGTGTCCCCATATGATTTGGGGAGTAGGCTCTGATCGCATCTGGGACTGTCCTGCAAGACTACCCTCTGCCTGTCCACAGGGCTGATGCTGAGTTCAGCTCTGGGCACCCACTCAAGGGCTGTACACCATTTCTGGTGCATCCTGCCTAAATACAACTGCGGTCTGGCCAGAAACTGCATGGTTAAAGGATG